TCTGCAGGAAAATCCATACTCCCCATCAGCGGCTGCCTTGCCAAAGAGATAAACTGCTGCTCAGGTGGTAGAAGTCTCTCTATGCCGCCCTCCTGAGGCAAGGGAGAACCTTTCCAACTTCAGGGTGTAAGTGGAAGAAGCACGAAACCATTTTAGGTTGATAAGTGCTGAAAATACTCAAGGAAAAAGGCTTGAAGGCAAGTACCAACCGAGGATGGAAGAGGCAAGATGGATACCATCGTCGTGATCCTGAGGAGACTCCTCTGGGATTTGGTGAAGTGGCCGAGAGGGAGCAGGTTGCCAGCCACGAACTGACACTGGGCAGACAGCACAGCTTGGTCCTTCCTTGCAGGGTCACATCGAGCTGGGAAGAGGCTTTGGAAACCCAACAGGCAGGTGACTCACCGATTCTGCAGACTCATATTTTGTGCTTCTTTTTCCTTTTTAGTTAGCATCCAGTTTTCTTCCCTCCTGCCATCACACGCAAGTTAATTCTACCCCCTGTTTCCGTAATGACTGTGTCTCTTCGTCCTTATAAACACATGGGCTGGGCAGCAGTTCTTGGAGACAAGAACAGTAGTTCCTCACACAGGAAGGATAATGCCAACAATGAGGCATTATTTTCAAGAAACTACAACAATCATAGCATGGGTGTCCGGGCTGCACACTGGGCAGACACTTCAGCTATTCAAACCCAGTTCTAAGCTTCAGCAAGAAATCTCTCCACAGGAAGTCAGATAAAGAGAGTTGTGTATGTTGCATTTTATTAGACAGAGGTGGATTTGATACATGTTATATCTTAATTTTCCATTTTTCTTGTTCAGACATGTTGAGTGTACAGATTTCCCATTTTTTAGTCAAGAAAGAAAAACACATTGCACAAAGCAGCTGCATTCAACAATACAACAAGATACGTATCATTATTCACTTAAAGACTAGAAACGTACCCCAGAAAATTTTCAATCGTTCAGTATGCTAAAATATAGATAAAAAGAGTTAGTTACTGTTTAATGGTAAAATACATTAAAAAAATTCAGGCAAATCTAGAATGAAAACTCGTGACTTTCTTCAGTATGGCACCACTCCATTGTTTCATTATAAATTTGTAAAAGGCACCACACATTAAAACCGTAAAGCAAGAGAAAAAACAAAACCAAGCAACTTTCCATGATTTTCTTTCTGTACAAATACATATGTATCTTAAGGCAGGTGTTTTTATGTGCAAAATACAAGTGTACAGGTAAAACCAATGTTGGTATCATATATTCTCAAATTCACTTCTTTTAGCTGTAACATTAGTGTCCAAATATACAGTACAATGAAAACACTTTTCTCTAACAGAGCTCAAAATAGAAGGCAGGCTGGAAATATGGCCCTGATAACAATTAGGTTTTAAATCTGAAGAGCTTTTACGTAGACCTCTTAAAACATGTACGGTCATTCTCTTTTTCTTTTTGTCTCTTCCTTAAGAAAGGTCCATATCAACTTGTTCACTATGTCAGGTTGATCCTGCTGGAGCCAATGACTGGCTTCAGACAAAATAGTTAATCTGAAATGATTTTTAACATAAATCCTTGTAATTTCTGCCATCTCAACTTCCATAAATGCATCTCTTTCTCCCCATAACAGCAGGGTTGGCATGATGACTTCGTGGTGCTGCAGAGGTAGGCAGCTTTAAAAATAAAACACACCTAGTTAGGTCTTATTTTAACAAAAAATCATTATGACACGTTTTAGTCAACATAGCTTTTGAAATCAATGCAGTGAATCTCATTGCAGACTTTCTAAGTTTCAAGATATCTCCTACAATACCAAGAAAACGCTGTGACTTTAAATTCTTTAATTGTTTTAAGGATGGTGAAATTGTTAGAAGGTACTTTTACTGTAACAGGTCTCTAATCAGCAGTTGATTGCAACAGAGGTCTCATTTTTGGAACATGAAAGATGCTTCAGCACAGCTCAGGAGCCCCATGACCTCTGTAAAAGGGAATGTGGAACAACATGGCCAGAATTTTGTAGGTCACTTGCTTTCCCTTGGTTGATAAATGGCAAGTTTCTGAACCTGCATTATTTACTGCACACCAGCCAAACTACCTTACTGAAAAATATGTGCCCAGCAAATGGCAGGCTGCCATTGCTGGATATTATGGAAGATACCAGCTAGAGTGTTTCAGACCTATTAAAAATTAAATATCATAGAGTACAGCTGAAAATAAAAATATTTGTAAAATAAGATGTTCTATAGAACATTGATGTCTGAAATGCTGAACTGAATTCGGTTACATTCACTTTATGAAATTCATGCAACATTCAAAATGCTTCAGAGTTCCCTTTACAAAGCACCACAGTGTTTTTTGAAGGCCTAGGACTTACATACCTACATCTTTTGCATGCAGTGAAGGAAAACTGTTTCTTAAAGATTTACTTTTCATGAAGTCATAATCTCTCTAAAACTGCAACATCACAACCCAGAGTTTTGTCAGACTAGAAAGTGTTTAAGGATAAATACATTATAAGACATTTGAAGAACACTTTGAAGAAAAGCCCTTAGAAAGTAAAACTATAATAAACATGATACTATCACAATGACCTACTTAAACTTTCAGTAAAAAGATTATTTTTTAAATACAATTTTTTAGAATTGAATATTTAATAAATATTACCTTATATTACACGTATTAAGAAAGATGCAAGTAACTAGAAAGTAAAGACTATTTCACCATTAACCCACCCAAATTTATTCCAGCACATCTGTTTCAGAGATGCTGAAAAATTTATCTAAGATTGAATTGCTTAATTTTAGTCACATATAGTAACAGACTGTGACAATTCAAAACAGACTCCATCTGATCAGATACAAACCTTGGTTATATTAATGCACAAATAGGAATATTTTAAACCAGTAATGTATAAAAAAGATTTTCTGTACAAACTTTTATGACATACTTAAGTACTAGTTTTAACCTTAGGAGTTAGTTAAGAGATTATACTCTGTAAAGAGGAAAAGACAAAGAAGATGACTTGTATTAGTTTAAAATAAGACAAAGAAGTGGAGGCTTTGAAGACGTTCTTCCTCTACTTACACATTATGTCAAAAAATGTTAATAAAAGATCACTTTCAGTGATAATTTAATTTCATTTTGATTGATGAATTAGGAAAACTCTTAAAATTCCTTTTTTCCAGTAAATTTAAATCTCATTTTGCAAACACCCTGACCTCAGCCACTGAACCATAGCTTATTCATAGTACCAGTTTTAAAAACTGATAATCTGATGATCTCATTCAGTGCATTTAGACTAACCTTTTTACCTTTAAAATGCAGTATCCTGGATCTTTTCACTATTTAAGTGTGGTGTTTTCACTACTGTAGGGTTTCCTATTTTGTGCCTTGCAAGACTTGTAGCCTGACTTACTTAGATAAAAAAACCTACCAGGCTTTTTTACACATGCTGCATACATAAACAACCTGTCATTTTTCACTGCCTATGAGCTACACTGTATGTCTTTTCAGTCTGGAATATGGGAAATTGTATTTTGCCTGAAATTTCTAGAAATTGCCTTTAATAACAATTAACAAGCGGATATCACATTTAGAAAGAAGTTCCACTCCTTAAGTGTTAAAATCTTTGAAAAACAAACTCAAACCTTCATACAGCATTGTTATACAGCTTTTCTGTAAACAAATAGTGAAGTACTTCTTAACTGCTATAAGAGAACTAATGCCATTTTCTAAAAATATAGCATATCAGAAGAAATTCAAGCTCCAGCTCTGTACCTGTCTCTCTTAACCAAGCATGACAGAAAAGCTTTATGATTTTTATTCTCAAAGTGTTTGAATCTAAAGTATAGTGAAGGGAATGGCTGCTGTGCTATTTATAAAAGGATGTGTTGGTGAAGGATGAAAGTAGGTTATTTCAATCATCTATTTGGAAATAATTTTCCAGAAAAATCAAGCTCTGAAGAATGAAACTCTAAATGGATAGTAATGAGTTGGTAACCTTTAACATGTAGGTCACCAGTACCAGCCCACTGGGAGTTGTGGTGAATACAAGTCATTAGCATCCAAGTGCTGCTTAACAACTCATATGAGAGAAAGGGAAAATTTCAATCCAGTTTTAGTATTTAAGAATTCACATCCTGTAAGGTGTGACAAAGTGTGACCATCAGAATTGGTGGCAAGAACTGAATGAGCTGAAGACTAATCTTTTCTTTCCAGTCCAAAGCCTTCTGCATCGTGGCTGACAGCAGCTAAAATAAAATTCTCTGAATTCCTTTCAGGTATACTTTCATTAGAAAAATAAAGTGAACACTGCACAAACATACACACAAAACACACAGAGGAATTAACAGCTCTGAAGATACTTTCTGATTAATAACTGATACTAGACTTTTTTTGAGCCCGAAAAGGCCTGAAATAGTTTAAACATATCAAAGATTTGTTTCATCTGAGTCCCACAGCCATTCAGCTATCACAGGCATGTCACTGTTGCTGTCAGAGGAGCATCTGGTTAATGTGCACGCTCAGTGATGCGAGGTGCTGTGCCCAACGTAACCAACAGGGCTCCGGGCGCTCTCGCCTCTCCAGCTCCTCATTAGCCCTTCCCCGGGGCTCCTGCAGAGCAGCTGCCGGGCCGGGAGCGGCTGTGCAGCCACACAGCTCCAGCGCCCTTGGACAGCCCAGCTGATGTCATCGACTGCTCTCTGCGTAGCTTTAACTAAGTGTGCTGTTTCCAGCAGGGCCATCTCATTTATTGCCCACTGTCATCCATGCTTGGTGTTGTCTTTCCACTTTCTCCTTCCAGTTTTGTCTCTTAGCCTGTACAAGACAGCAACTAGCTCGGATCCTTGTTTTCCTCGCAGTATTTCCCTGCTGATTGCTCTCCTGACAGTGACAGCATGGATGGCACAGAAAGCATTAAAGGTGGTACTAAATTTGCATCAGGGGAAATGAAAAGTTAATCTGCCTCAAACATCTACTACCTGAGTTTAGGGAAAGAAGGGAATGGTCATTTTAAAGAATATTGGGAAGTTGGTCTTGTGCTAGAGAAGCATGCAGGACGTTTATCACTGCTGAAGACTGGACAGTAAAGGAAAAACAAGTTCAACACCACTCTTCTTGATACAGTCCTTCAAGTTAGCTCTATAAGTAGAGTATACAGAGTTAAAGCCCTTCTGGCCATGTTTTTGGTAGGTAAAAAGGGGGTGTCAGACATAGTTTTGTAAAGTTACAAGTGAGGGTCACGTACTTGGATGCCGTATTATCTAGTAGTATTATCTAATAGTAAGCTCTTGATAGATATTATAATTACTTAATATGTATTGTAATGCAAACAATTAATTGATGGTAATTTTTAAGTGTTATTAAGAGATAGATTTATGGAATTGCCATGGGTGCTGTGTATGAGGGAGGGTCTTCGCTTTATTAGATTTTGAAACAAAAATTTTCCTTATCTGCACTCTGGTTGTTTTACTGTTTTGTATGGACACCACACAGAACACATGAGGCCTCACCTGCCTTACCGTGCCTGCACCCGGCACCTGGGGAGGCTTCGGAAACAGAGCTGCCGTTCTCCCCCTCTGCCTCCGCGGCAGGAGCCGCAGTAACATTTTTGGGCTCCAGGGGACTCTCAGAAATATTTTCCTCTGTTTGAGAATGTTATACTGACCTGAAAATAGTCCTGTAATGGTTAATGGGTCCTGTTAGTGCTCCAGGTTGTGAAAAGACATACAGATAAGCTTCGATATCTTCTGCTGTTAATCTGCAGCCTTTCCTTCCAATTCCAGTGGCCTGACTGGTAAATAAACTTTTCAGAACCTACAAAAGGAAGAATAAAAAGCTATTACCTAAGATAGCTAGAAAAGGTGTTTTCTCTCCTTCAACAGGACATATCTTTCTAAAATCTACTTATACATATTTATAAATTTGTTTATGTTCAGAGTTGTAGTGGGTTGACCCTGGCTGGATGCCAGGTACCCACCAAAGCCACTCTATCACTCCCTTCTGTGACTGAACAGGGGGAGAGAACATACAACAAAGGGTTCAAATGTTTTTTTAGAGAGCTATGTGTAAAGCACATGGTTAACTTATTTCTAGTGTAACTTACTTCAGAATAATCAAGTACAGACAAATGCCAATATTACCCTACCCAGTTACTGAATTCTGCATCCTGACCTGCCACCTATGAAAGGCAAAGGCAAGCGCGGGCACATACTTTTTTTTTTGAGATGGACCCCAGTAGGTGACAGGGCTGGAGGGAGGATGATTCATGACCTCCCCAGCTGGCTGTGCCCTGTGTGCATGCAGCACTGGGAGCTCTGCACTGGGCTGTTTGCATGTAGGAGGCATATGTCTGCAGCTACTTTGTCCCTTTCTATGTGCTTGCACTTGGTTTTTAAGGTTATACAAAGTGCTGGCCTTGGTTCCTCAGGCAGAATTAATCACCTGGCTGAATGTGATGGCCAGACTCCCAGTCTACCTGCCCTGCAGCAGGCTCTAAGAGGTAAGAGAATGTCCCACTGCCCATGGGAGCTTCAGATAAGTCAGCAGGAGTTCCACAGGCACCATGTCCCAGTGTTATGGGCACAAGTAAAACCAGCTGACTCTCTAGGTGGAGTAATGCACTGCAGTGCTGGAGGTTAAAACTATGTGCCTGAACACCTCCCAGAAGTGCAAGAGTTAATCTCAGTAACTCTATGTACTTATATCCTACTTTATGTAAAGCTTAAGAAGAAAAATCAGAAAGCTCCATATTTTTTCCTGTAATTAGAACTACATCAGAAGGGATCAATGTAGGTGGCAATTCTATTACTCACTGTTAAATATATAAACAAGAGCATTCAATTTGCTCACCTTGAAATCATTTAGAGTAAACATGAATTCAGGAAACCATGGCATTTGGAAAAAGAAGTAGTAACCAGATTTAATCAATTGTGATGGATGTCGTAGAATGTATTCTGAAACAAAAATGCCCATGAATTAAAAATAAAAACTGATGACTCAAACAAAATTACTGTTAATATTACTATTTTTTAAACTTAAAGGAATGTTTTAAAAATATTACATTAAAGCATGCTATGTGACAAAAGATGATTATTGTTTCAGGAGTAAATATATGGTGTGGCCATTAAAACATAGTTCTTTTGTAAATGTTAATATAAACAGCCAGCAAAACAAAAGTTTGCCAAAGATTAAGTGAGGACAGCAGCATTGGGGAGTTTAATCGAATTATAGGTTTTCACTTAGAGATCTATGTGTGTAGCTAGTCCAAAGCATTTTTTTCACAGATGTGGAATAAAGGGCATAAATAAAAATATTTCAGTATTTCTCTCGTCAATGATGTGATGCACAGAAATGATGATCCACTGACATTCTAAAGACTGCATCACTCTTGTTCACAGAAGTACAGATTTTTTCTAGCAGTTGTCTACTTGGCAATTTCAAGGACCGTAATCAAGGTTATATAGAGTCACTTTTTAAAGATTTTTTAAAGTAATTTGAAAAGATACTGGAGCATATATAACAAAAGAAAAGGATACAGACATGCATTAACTCTTTTTTAAAAATTGTAAATTTATATCTTCAGTGAGTTGCAAGAGCCAACACTGACATTCAAATATCTAACTTCCTCAAAGCAAGCACACAATGTGTACAGGTACTAGGAATTCTAGAACTTATTCTTTACAGGTGCAAATTCAGGAAGGTAAAACTGCATTCCCAACACAGGAGGTATCTCTGAAATATTAATTCTGACAATGAATAAAAATGGGGTTTAAACCAATGTAAATTGAAGTGTCAGCTATCTTCTAAACGTTCATATCTTACACGTTCTTAAATTGCATTACGCATTATATTTTTCCTTGCTAGACCATCACTGCTAACTTTACTTTTCTCCACTATTTATAAACTGTATATTTTCATTTAACCCACAGTAGAACAAATTTGATCTAGGGAGAATTTATCAAGCTGCAGAGCAGATTTTGTACTTCAACAAATATGCAAACAAATACTGTAATAAAATGTAATTGTCTCCACAGCCTGGCTCCTGCTGTCAGAGAAAATACTGCAAAAAGCTCCTACTTCCTCATGTGATGAACAGACCTCTCCTGGGGTAAGTGTGGCTTTACTACCTGACAAAATGTTCTTTAGTATCTTAGAAAGGTGCCCAAAAACACTGTGAGAACAACATATGTGGATGGTTCTGATTCTACAGTGGTGTAAGGTCTGATTTATATTCAACTGAAATGAAAATTAAAGCTGCACTGAATATTCTTAGCTATTTCTAGGGAAATGAGGTGATTTGTTAAATGGAAATGGGTAAGGCCAGCAATTGAAAAAATTGAAATTAGGGAGATACTACTTTCATTTTCATTATGGAATGTTGATATAATCCCTATGAAATGTTTTGTAATTCTGGGTAGTAGACAAAGTCTATCACACAACAAATTCTGCTAGTGCACCTCAGTCCTTGTTTCAGCTCAGTACTAGTACATCTAGTAAGAGTACTAGTACTAGTACTAGTATAGTAGCATCTAGTAAGTAGCCTGGAAGGCTGTTGTCTTCTGATGAATATTGTACCAGATCAAATTATTGCTTGTCACCTAAATTGGGATTTAATTCTAATGTCTGAGTCACATTTATACAAAGGCTGGTTTATGCAGATTTAATAGTGCAGTGAGGCCTTAACCAAAGTGTAATACAATACACACCCCTCTCTTCAGGGAATTTTATCCTGCCAAAGCGGAACAAAACAGATTCATGTGTTCGAAAATTATGTTTGTGGACCTTCAAGGTTTACTAAAAAAGTCAGTAAATTTTGTTGCAAGCACTCCCAACTTCCTACAATAAATTTATTTCCAAAAGTCAGATACTCGATAAAATACATTATAAAATGATACTTCATAAAATACAGCCCAGATTGTGAGAAGCATGGAGTACTGGCAGCTTATCTACTGAACATCTAACAGGGCAGGTAGTTGGTTCTCAAAGCAAACATAATCGTAGTGGAAGTGCAGATACTTTGAATTAACAAAGACTACTGTAAAACTCACCTGTAAATACAGAAGGATGAGGGAAATTTACCACAATGAGCTTAGTCACCATTTCAGGGTAACAAATAGCCACTAACCAAGCGATCATTCCTCCCCAGTCATGGCCAATCAACACACACTTGTTGTATCCTACCACATAAACACAGATACATGCTTTTATTTCAATGGAATTAGTATCCATAGAAATTATCACATACAATAATGATTTCATTATTGCACAAAATAGGTGGTTCAGCACATTTATTAATGTAACTTCAGTACTGCCCTGCTTCCATTACTAATGGTCAGAAAAAATAGTCCACTGGTATACTTTAAAAATGTACAAATATTTAAAATTGTTTAATTGGATTTCATTAAACTTTAACTGTACTACCTCCATGTCAACCTAAAGTCACTCAGTATCCAGACTGCCACCCAGTTTACATCTTGGCCAGTACAGGGTCAGACAGACAGTTCAATTGCAGTCATTATAATGCATGTACATTTGTCATGTTTAGAGAGTTTGGAGTTTGAAACTGCAGACAAAAAGATGGAGCGATCTGCTAAGCCCCTCCTGAACAAAACTAATCCTCATGAATTTCTCTGAATATGGGTGGTTATCTAAGCACTCAACACCACCATTATGCAAAAAGTGGGCATTATTCTTCATAGCCATATACACAGCATATATATGCACACCTATATATGTACTTAGTAGGCCCACAGCTTTTCTCCATAAGCTGTTGTGTTGGCAATTTTTAAAGTTGTTGACATTCACATACTTATTCTTCCATCAACAAAAATGGTATTTAGCAGCAATAAAAGGGTCATGTGGGATAACGACCGAATTTTTGAAAGTCTAACTATTCCTTCTTTAAGCACTGCTGGAACACACACTGTAGTGTCAGATACCACCACCCTCCTCACTGAGGATTGGAACACTGAGCACATACACTGCAAATGAAACATATAAAAGCCAAGATTTCTGGAATTCTGACATAAAATTTGGACAGAGTTGTCAAAGCACCTTATAAACCCTCTTGAATATAAACCTTTTGGAGCACTTTTGATATAATCAAGTTCTCCAAAAGAATTTAACTTAGGGTTAGAACAAAGATAACAAGCCTCTGAAATACTTTATCAAAAAAATTTTAAATCCCTATGAAATTGAATTATGCTGAGAGCACTTCTCAAGCATAACCACGGCATTACTGTGGAGATTAACAAAACCAGCAAAGGCTGGAAAATGTAAACACAGTGTGGGGACTGCCTGCCCAATCTTTTGACAATGCTCAAACATCACAAGCAAAGCAAATTCTAAATTCAAACCTCAGAACTGGAATCACTGCTTTACTATTTCTTCATATGAAATGAAGTAAGTGATTTCACCATCACTGGAGTATCCAGGGAATTAAAATGACTCAGAGAATGACAATCTAACCCCTTGTGTTGCTATTGGTAGGAAATACCCTTCACCAGGTGTTACAATTTATCGCCCAAACAGCGACAATTCAAACTGAACTGGAGGGGCAGATTTTGCAGGCTCACTTTGGCTCTAGACCATTACACTGGGTATTTGCATGTCCCTTGTTCTCCCTTCTGTTCTTCTCTTCTCTCTGTTGTGTAAGAGAGCGATTCAGCTCTGGAGAACTGACTACTGTGCAGGAGTAGTATTTTGGGAGAGTTTTTTTGGTTTTTTTTAATACAGCAGATGTACTCTCATCATTTCTATAAAGCCCACAATATTTACTCTGTCTTGTTTGTGCAAGAAAAATGTCACCTGATTTAAATTCTTTTTCTGGAAGTGCTAATTCAAAACATTATCCTCTAAATGCCAGGAGCAAAGACTTTCTTAGGGATAAAGACCAGAGGTTTGTACTGCTGAATTTCATAGCACATAGGAAAGATTTTTTTTTAAACTCATGATGGAAAAATCATCTTTACCTGTTGTTTATACTGACATACAGATCATAATTAGAAAACAACCCTTTTTCATTTATAATAATCCATAAAATACGAGTATCCTTAGATTTATACCTATATGTATCTGTGATGTGTATATATTAAAAAGACTGCAGTTTAAGAAAAAACAGTTCTGGATCTTTATGGGTTTTTCTTGCTAGAAAATCAAGTCATCTATGAGTCAAGTAGGTTGTCTTCTAGTAACGCACCTAGAGATTCCAAAATGTCCTTTATATCTGCTATCAGGCAATCTAACTTGTAACTTTCTTTGTGAGAAGGAGCATCTGTTTCTCCATAACCTCTCAAATCCAGGGCCACCACTCGATATTCACTTTTAAATTCCCGCAATTGATGGCGCCAAGAATACCTAACAAAGAGGAAAAAAAGTTGGAGTTATAAGGTCAAGCAGTATGATATCAAAATGCACTCAATGCTTTTGCACCCAAATAACTGAGGGTAAATTAGCATGGCTTTCTTTGCAATGAGATTCCCTTTCCTTTCTGTGCTACGCTGATGGTCCTTTGTGGCTGCAGTAGTTTTCTGTTCCCTTCTTGAATTTGCCAGTAAGGAAGTGCAGCTGCCAGAAAGGGGGCCTGGCCAGAGCTGGGGTGTTTCCACAATTCCTGGAGTCTGGTACAGTCCCTTTGCAGCAAAGGAAGGAGGCATAAACCAGAGCAACAACTATCTGTGTTACTGTGGCTCCAAGGATAACACAGTACTGACTTACTGACACACACATTTTGATGGAGCAGGGAAACATGCCTCAAGGCATGGTTGATTTTTTTTTATTCAGAAAAACAATGCCAGATAATTCATACACTAAATAACCTGAAGAAAGAAATTAAATTAATAACAAATGAATTTGGTAAAGTTTGTGGGATTTATATTTCATCTGTGTCTCTTTACTACCAGAACTGTTCCAGAACAAGCTGTCTCAATGTGTTGGTGGTATACAAAATATTTCATTCCTTGTGTTTCTATGGAAAAGAGTGATAACATTACACACATCAAAAGACATACAAAATTAAGAACTTGGGCAAAGGCCTGGGCTATTCCTCATTCTGTAAAAGTATGTAGTGATTATATGTGTGTTATGAAGCAAAAATAACAAGAAAATGGTGGGTCTCATCCTGCAAGAACTATTTGCCCTTCAGCTGTTACTGAAACCAGATAAATTTCAGAATAGCTAGTACCAAGACACACATGGCCTTATATTACACTATAATAGAGAGATACATGAATCCTTCTCAGCATATTTAATAGTGGCTGTATCCTGCTGTGGTAGCTTTTATTTCTGCTTGTTTCAACAGTCTCAGATAAAGGATATATAACATTTGGATCATCAGTGGTTGTAGCAGTGATGCACAGAATTCTACCTTAATCCAAATAGTGTTTATATCAGACCATTGGCTCTTCTACTTGATCTTTGCCTTGAGCCTGTTAGTAATATTAAGTAATATTACAGGTACACTCAATGATATAAATCTGTATTCATATAATCAAAACAGTCAAACATTTTCATTTCAGTGCCATATAATGCAAAGATAAGGTTTAGCTGAGATCTCCAGGAATGAATCTTTTAAAGGCATTATATAACGACTTGGAAGCTGAATTTGCCATGGTAACTGTTGCAGCTTTTCTATGTACTTCAGTAAGAAGAAAGAACCAGTCCCATAAATAAATAAATTAACTATTTTTGTTTTCAGAAGATGTCTATGAGCTGTCCTCATCTTCTGTTTTCACAACAGTCCATCAGTCACCAAATGTCTGACCTACCAAATGGGTAGGTTTTATATTTGAAGAAATCCTTTTACCACATATGATATGTAACTATTGGACAACTGCTTTGCAAAGAGAATTTGGAAATGTTGCGAATGCTTCTATGTTCATAAGGTTCAATCATAGAAACTATTTTGAGACTTTTTGATCCCTTTCTCTCTAAAAGGCGAGTTGTACAAAATTTAGCAGCTCACACACAGATCTTATAGGTACCCAGCTGTCTCAACCCATTATGCCCAATTTCAAATATTTTATTATTGTCTTTCCACAACATTGGTATTGATTTTCAAGTTCTTATGCATCTAAAGCACTAAGTGGCTCTGGTGCATTATATTCTTAAGTGATCTTTCATGTTCAGACATTCTCTATCACTCACTAAGGTCAGTATTGTTTGGTTATATTTGTCCTATTTATAACCTTGAGACATTTGAAGGCAGAGGATTTGTTACAATTAAGAACTCTGACTGTGGATCATATCCTTTTTATTTTCCTAGACAAACAGTACAAATTCGATGCTGCTTTAAATCTCTCTTAAATTGTGGTTATTTTATCTTGTGCTCTCAGAACAATCACTATTCCTGCATAAAAAAATCTTTGCTGATTGAATGAACAACCCAACCTGAGTATTTGTAGCATAACTGTTTTACAGACTATTAGCATAGCATGTAGTCTTCTTTTTAAAAACAGTGATATGAACTATGCTACTGGTGGTCCCAGTGACCTGTATAACAGGTTTTTTATTCATAATTTTTGAATGGTCAGATAATATAATATATTAGCCATCACTTATAGCATGACTCACCATTCTAAACTGTAAGAATGGCTACTGCTTTTTAAAAGTAATATACTTGATCTCAGTAGAATATGTATGTAAACTGCTAATTTTTCCATTCCCCCTGTAGGGGAAATCAGCTGCACTCTCATTGCCTCTGTTAGAATATGCTTTATGCAAGGTATGCATAATGTTTGCATAGAATATGCACTGCTCCATCTAACAGTCCTTTCAATCAAAGTTTGCAGTTTTAATAATTTTAGATAGCAATTTACTATTAGAACAATCTACTTCTTTGAAAATTTACCTTAACATAAACATGACTCTTTACCATCATCCTCAAGGCCATTAGTATCTATGGGAAATTGCTGCTAAGGGAAGAGAACTGACTTTTGTTTTACCTGGGTCAGTTTGTCATGGTATGACCTTAGTCCAAATTGAAAGATGACAGTTGCAACAGTGGACCCTAGCTCCGTACCTGAGTTTAGGAAGGAAAAAGGATCGTTTAACTTGCTGAACTACTGGCATTAGCACTTCCTTTATTCCCTTCTTGGTTTTTTGGTAGCAAGTTCTGTAAGCCATGCTTCACTAGTTAAACCTGACAATGATAGCCTTTGGTTAAATCATTAGACACATGACTGCTTTTCACTGTTATAAACAAACATTTAGGATTGTGTTTGATTCATCATTCATCTTGTGATGAACTAATAATAGAATCTTTTTCCCTGAGTAGCATTCTGAAATTAGGCTGCACAATAGCCTATAGAACTCATAGTTCTTCTTCACCTTCCTCAGTTAAAAATTAAGGTATAGTATTTTTAATAAACGGAGCAATCCATATTGCTTATCCTTATTTTAATACCCTCTGCAATAATTCATAAGTTTATCCATATAGTACAAGTGCTATCCAAAGAGGAAATTTGTTAAAAATGAGCAGTTCCTCACCAAAGTTTGAAGAAAAGGGTACATACCTGGGGAAAAGTGAATTGAAAATGCAAAAAAGATGGTTGGTTTGTGTTAGTCTGCAGGAATTTTTTGTGGATGCTGTAGTTAAAAAAATGTTTCCGTGGTTTATTGCCTACTAAAACTTCATGCCATTAGTTAGTACTCATAAACATGTATAATGGATCACACTGGGGATATTTAGGTTGAGATATTCGCTCTTGGGTATCTTATGCAGCCTCTTTTATATAAGAAAAGCATGTAGGGAGTTTTACCAGAATTCTGGAAAGCCATGAAGTAGCAGCATCAGTGGTTTACCCCTTTCTCCAGCAGCCACATAGTGGAATCGTAACCCTGAATCCTAAAATGAGAGAAAAAGAAGTGTAATTTTATTGCTGCATAAAACTGCTATTCTGGGATTTGAGAATGATGATGGTTTCAGACAATATTCTAAGAAACAATATACTGCAGCTGAAAAAAATCAAATTATTAGTTTTGAAGCTGAAGCCTTCTGTGCTTCTGAGAGCCAGTATGTGCTACACGCTGGCAATGCTGAGTATCCCACACCCTCGCCACCACAGCTTTCCCCAGGGAGAACTATCTGTGGTACCTGCCAGGCTGTGTGAGTGTGTGCTGGTCCAGCAATGAGCACAACAATGCTCCTGACACTGCCCTGACTGGGAAATTTCCTGACTGGGAAATTTCCTGACTGGGAAATGCAGGTTACTGTCAAAGCAAACTCCTTGCTTTCACGTGGACACCAGTCATGTGCTTTACAGAAAGACTTCAAGACTCAGTATACTTTAAATGCACTTTCAATCTTTCAGTTAGCTTGTAAGGTTATGCAACTATTTAAAACCATCACATTGCATTCTGGCATGATAAAGGACTGCATGGATTCTTCAGAACAAAAAGCAATCAAAATTAAGTAACTAGAAAGCAAGTAGTTTTTGCTAGTTTTTACTATTCAAGGTTTTAGACTCACTCCAGAAAATTAAGCCTTAATGTTATAATGTTCTTTCTGCACTGTCTGTAGTCACTGGTTTTGATGCACCTTTTAAGAAAATGGGTCTTATGAGAATTACAAGCAGACAAGTTACTTATTGCAGAGGCTGAACACTGGAATGCTATTGAAGTGAATAGATGTACACAAGCTTACACTGACTCAAGGTCAAATCCAGTAGAATTTAAACAAACTGAGATTATGACCCAGAGTTTTTACTGAATTCTGACACAGAAGTAGTTACAGAAATTGGGAGTTAGCTTACAAAATACTGTTTAGAAGTCACATGAAGGAAATGGCAGGAAGAAAGGTTGTACAGCTCCTGAATGAATGTCAGAGCCTGCACTGTTTCTGCTATTTCAAAAAGGAAAGAAAAATCCCATGCCTTTTGCAGCACATCAAGAGCTAATATCAGGGCAAAGATCACAAATGCATACAAAAAGGTTTTATTGCCAAAAATGCTTCAAATGTTCTGAGATATCTTAGCACTGATAAGTTACTAACCAGCTACAAAACAATTAACTTACATCCTGATTCTCAAAAGGGCTCCAAAGAGAGAACTATTTGGATTTTTTATACTTGCTATGGATATAACAGGGACTTTTGCTCAGTTTTGCCCCAAATGACACTGATATTTCACCTCTGGGATGCCAATGAACTTGAAGTCCTTAGAGGTAAAATAAATTCCTAGCAAATTTTAGGACCATTACATCATCTGTACAGTTCTCCAGATCACTCTGCCTTTGATCCTTTTACATTTAAAAAAGTAGAAGTTTCTCAATTTCCTTCCACAGTTTCTCTTCTCAGTTTAATGAGTAGTGGGCAATCGCTCCTCCATGCTGCTTCTTTCAGTTAGTGTCCTCTAGGGATTTACCCTCAATGCTGTTATTTTAATCTATTTGTTGCTTTTAAGGACATCCCCTTTACTCATACAAATTCAATCACCACTCACACAGCAGCAGTTTAAATGTTACATCCCCCGAACTCTAACCATCTAACCTTTTCAGTTGCTGCTTTCTGTCCCCATTTTTCCACCCCCAAAACAGACATAGGATGTTGCCATCTTTTCTGAAATGGACTGTTTTCTTTGTTTTGTTGAAATCTGATCAGATCTGTAGGATATGTGTGTTTGGAAAAAACCCCATTAGCCTGCTGTTATCCAAGACTGTTATCCAAGAGCAAGAGTTTATTTCCTGAAATGAGTGATCAACTGTCATATTGACAGTAATTTGATTTGCCCCCAAATGCTCTTCTATTACTGTCACACCCCTCTCACTTCCCTAGCAGCCCATTAATTTACTGCTCTGTGCTACAAGAAAATAAGAATGTCATACAAGTAAAAAAGTCCACACTGCTAGCAAAAGATGACAAGCAAATCATAAGAAAATGAGGCTCAATGATTTATATTAGTACTGCCTGGCAAGAAACCATCTGCACAGAACCCTGAGGACAGGGTATTAAAAACAGCACTTGACAAAATTTGCTGTGCATTCTTTGCTCACCTATAGCTGCAAAAGAAATCTAGATAATACAACTTCATTTAGAACATTTCTTAAAGGAGCAAATCGCAGGTAGAGACCTGAGACAAGCACCCAAATTAACTGTGGTGGCTTTAACTGTACAACCTGAGGGACAGCGCTTAGTTTCTTACTCTGTGTTTTTCCCTGCGACTCTGCTGCGCGGCTGGCCA